TATCGTAGTTACTTTTATTATTGGGAAAAACTATGCTTACCTGCCCAAGATACCCCGAAAGGACGCTCCGGTATTTTTCATAACGTAACGCTTTTGCGTGGGAGAAATAACTCAATGGCTTGAGGTATTGGCTATTTAACACATGCAAAAGCGTTGCGGTATGAAAAATAACGTAACGCAGTGGTAGCGCTCGTACAAATATCAACACGGAGAAACGCGCGCGACCGGAGCGTCCTTTCGGGGCATCTTGGGGAGGTAAGCATAGTTTTCCCCAATAATAAAAGTAACTACGACAAAACGACAATACAGTATCTATAAATATCATTCAACTTACAATAACGTTTAAATTTATCATTTTAAATTGTAATAATCTCACAATTATAATTAAAAGTAATGAGCAATATAACATTTTGTATTGTTAAATAATTATTTACGAAATATTTTAATTTTTTTTCGGGGGGGGGGGGCTGCGCCCCCCCAGGGCACATTACGTGCACGCGTGAGGAAAATAATATTAATGTGTCAAGAAATACATTTAAGATAAATACAATTAAAATAAACCGGTTAGAGTGTTAAACGTTTCGACTTCGATCGAGTCATTTTCAATAATATAATCAATAAGATTAACGATTTACACACTTCAAAGTATATTTGAAGTTCGAAATAAATCGTTAATCTTATTAACCGGTCTAACCGGTTTATTTTCAATGTATTTCTTGACACATTAATGTTATTTGTTTATGTTTGACTCGTAGATCTGTTGTGAAATATATCGTTTTATTGTTGAGCCACTTACTTATATTGTTTCTTAAATAAATAATTGTGAACAATTATGCATCTAATTACAAACGTTTCGATCCTAATCAGATCATTTTCAATATAAAAAAAAAAAAACAGTCATGTAATAATAAAATATATGTTAGAATGTGAGAAAAAATTACATTATTAAACAGACTTGATATATTATATAATCAGTTATAAAAGAACAAAGCAGTGGTTCGATAATTATACGAATTTAATATTCCACGTATTCACTATTTTATAAGATGTTTATTATTCACACTGGTTGGATCGTTATTATAACTATATTCAAGCAAATAAAATGTCAGAAATCAATTGAATGAAAATCATAACGATGATAAGAATCACATAATTTACAAACAGAATTTGGTATTATAATTAGCAGGGAATGGAAGTAACTCGTTACTTGTAACGAAGTTACAGTTACAAGTTACTTTTTTGGTAACTTTACTGGTAACTGCGTTACTTTCTTTTTTTTGGTAACTGTAACGGTAACGAGTTACATTTTTTGGGTAACTGTAACGAAATTTACAGTTACTTTTGTCGTTACTTTGCACACGATTGAACACGGTTCGATTGGATACATGCTATTAATAACGCTTATCAATAAGACTTGAAAGCCCTTATACATATTCGGCCGTTATGATTCAGTAATTATTTTACACTTCTATCTTCTATGTAATACATAGGACATACAAATATTTCAGTTTGCTGCATATTTTACAGGTTTTAGAATTACAAAATTGTGTTTAAAAAAAATTAAAAAATAAATTAAATAATAGTAAAATGAGATTAATTACATTGTCATCGTCGTTCTTATCAAAAAGACGATAACAATAAGTGTCGAAACGTCGTTTGTTTTTATCTTTGTATTGTTCTAATATATATTTATACATTTAATTACATTGTCATCGTCGTTCTTATCAGAAATAAACTGTTTCATTTTTGGCTCGTAACCCTTCTCATTTTACTTTTATTTAATTTATTATTTGAGCCATTCTACATTGTTTTTTTTTTAAATAAAACTATATATTTGTCAGTATTACATATAAAAAAAAAATGCAAAAGTACATTTTTAAATTGATTTTAAAAAAGTAACGGAAAAGTAACGAAAAGTTATTTTTCAAGTAACGGTAACTGTAACGAGTTACTTTTAAAAAGCGATAACTGTAACTGTAACTAGTTACATTTTTTACTGGGTAACGAGTAACTGTAACTAGTTACTTTTAAAAAATAACTTTCCATTCCCTGATAATTAGATATATAAAAACTAGGTATAAAAGAATTTAATAACACAATTATTTAAACTTCCTTCCTTTAAAAGACCTTGTAAAATGGAAAAGATAGGAAGAGGCTGATATTCAACAGTGGATGAAATCAGGCTGATGTAAATTTAGATATATTTGAATTTTATATTCCATGCAATCATAATTTTATAAAAAGGATCTTTTTAATTTTGTAAACATAAACTTTGGTCACTGCTATAAAACTGACTTCGCAATTTTCGTATAATGTGAATTAGATACGCATATGGATTCCTGGTACTAATTGAAACTATCATAATAAGCCAAATTTTGCGAAGAACTCATAAAACCATAACAATATTTTTGCAAACTGTTGTGAATTTAAAATAAATAATTTGTTTAATTATCCAACAAAGATTCAACGACGACTTTTGCTCATATTCAATTAAAACTTAGTGCTTAACATCGTAAAAATCAATTGTTGTGACATGATCAGAATTCATAATAGCTCTTTAAGCTTATGTTTTATGATTATTATACAAGGATATCGACCTGATTTACATATCCTCCCACATGTTAACCAGGTCTTTGTATCAAGTAATTTATGTTGGATGACTATCTTCATCCCGTGAGTTCTAATCATAGTCAAGGAAGTGTCGAGAGATAAACGGTGCGTACAAACTGCAAAATCGAATTACTTCCATTCGATACACTGACGCGGTTCGGCCATGCAACGATAATTTATTCACGTTTATGTAAGGTTACGACATGACAAGGCCAACAACAGGTTTGTCTCACCAATAAAGCCTTTTTTCTTGTAGGTTCTTCACCATCTTCAAATTTACTAGACATGTAGTTTTATCAGGTCAAGTACTTCATGTTCATAACGTAAAAACGTTAGTCTATTTGCACATGCAAATCGTACGTTTTGTTCTGTGAAATTTTATTCCTGATGTCCTCCATTTTTATATACGTGCATTCTCCTTGAGACATGAATGCAACTAACACAAAATATATGACTAATAACACACTCAGCAGACAAACGAAAAGTTCAATTTAACACTATTGGCTTAATTGGTACGAATAAAGTTAAAGTGTGCCACAAAAGTGTACAAAGAAATTCAACATGCATTCCTGGCAGTTAAACATCTGAGATTCACACATACTATAAAAATTTCACAATTTTTAAAACAAAACGATAATGGATAATAACTATGGATCAAGCTGAATGTTTTTTTTTAGTGTTAGAGTTCATATAACAAACAGTCTAAATAAAAATCTTTATCAGATCATCTTCAGTATTAAACAACTGTCAAATATCAATTAAAAACGGTAGATTACATAAATATTAAAAGTAAATAAAAATATGAAAATTACAAGTTATTACTAAAGTAATCGCTTGCAAAACGTGTTGAAGTTTGCTCTTTTATTACATAAATTTTAGCATTATTTATCCAGTTTGGTTAATAGTCCATTTTTTGTTTGATTTTTAATCCAATTCAGTCTTTTACTTCGTCTTTTTCATAAACTTATTTATTTCATGTATATATATATATATTGATACAGTGTTGTATTTTAATAATATACAATAAGACTATTTTTTGCATTTTAATATAGAAAAGCAGTAAATTTATTAAACATAATATGTATGTATACGATACTGTAAAAATTACTAAAATACTGTCAATCGCTTTCTTTTGAGATGTAATTTAAAACATACTACATAATTATGTAAAAAATAAAAATAAAAAGAAAGAAAAAGAAATAAATTGTCAAAAACAAAACAATATTAAATTTAATTTGTTCTACATATGTATTTTCAAAAAAAATTATGTAGTATGTAATATATTTGTATAATTTATAAATTTTATGAAACTAAGTGTATGAAACTAAAGATATTGTATTATAAATGTAAAATTATATATTTATACAGATTTTTTTTAATACCATAATTTAAACAATTTTTTTCTCGAAAATAAAATCACAATTATTACATTAATAAAGTGAATAAATAAATAAATATATGTATATGTATATATGATTATTTATTTGTAAATTTTGTATCGCACAAATAAATATTAAATTATTAAATATTAAAATGATTGTTATTATGCAAATAAGGAACGAGCTTATTTGATGTCATCAAAAAATTAAATTTCGAAAAGCACATATCGTTACTGATTTCCTATAATATTACGAAACAGTTTAAATGTTTGTTCTTTTTTGCAAATATTATTTCTACAAACAGTAACTACTTCACGATAAGTTACAAGGATGAAGAGTTTACAGAGCAGATGAACAGTCGCGACGAAAGAATTTAACCCATTCTGATTGTCATATAGTTGGCCCACGCTGATCTTCTCATTCATACCATTTAATATTTTGACTACAAAAAGTACTACGTTACGTGTTTCTTATTAGCAAATTGTTTAAACAAAAAGTTTTAACAAAAATTTCAGTTTTTTGCTCTTGAAGTCACCTTAAGCCTTAACAATATAAGTTTGTAGTCTTATTATAATATATATGTATACTAGTTGTTAAAATATAACAAATGAACGTATAAATACAACATATATTGATAATCCATGTGGTCCGAATGCCAAGTAACATATAATTGACACGATAAAGCACGCGTCAAGTCGACAGAAGGTCAATCCCACGTGGTCACGTTTAATCCACACAGAAGCCAATTTGTTGGGTTGGTAGCAACGAGGGGGAATATCTGAAAGGGAACAAGGCGCGGTCGCCAGGGCGCAAGGGACAGAGATGGTCGGAGGAAAATCCTCCCTAAGTGGAGGGGATAACAGACATATCTTACTGCCTGTAGTGCCTGTTGATTCACAGTACTCGCCAGTAATAAACGCGTCGTATAGAGACTCAGATCATAGGAACGTGCGCGAAGTTCAGTTATCATTTTATTACTTTTTCTCTAGTATCTAGAATAGAATAGTTTTTTATGTGCTTCAATGCCTACATTATAAGAAGATTATGATTTCGGCAGCTTACTGAATAACAAGTTTTTGCATTAAGAGGTAGGTCGTAAAGGAAAATTTCCAAATAGTTTTGACGTGGAAATCACAGTATACAGAAATTAGGAAATACAGTATCACGTAATTATAAAAGATATTTCAATAAAAATTGCATTTAAATAAACATTGCACACAAATAATATTATACAATACATTGTACGTTTTCGTTTACGTAGCGTAACGTACAAAGTTATAGAAAAAAATAAATACGTCGAAGAAATATAATTTGAAAGTATAATTTCGCAATTTACATAAAAAATTCTATGAAAATCCATTTATCAACATTACAGATAATTATTGATTGTAGTGTTGTGAACTTTGATTAGATCTGAGTAATAAATTAGTTATTACTTCAAGCAAAAAAAAGTAATTTTAAGAACATAATAATTTCTAATTGCTTTATTTCCAACATATTTGAATTTAATATGTCTAATTTCAATTAGTTTTTTTATATTTTAAAATATATTTTCTCATAATAAGGTGAAAAATCGCAATCATTAAAAACATTAATATTAATGTCAAGCTAATTATTTATTGACGTTCGTTTATGATGTTACGAAAAACTATTAGAAAAAAATGTTTGTATTTAGATCGAAGTAGTTAATAGTGCACAATAAAATCTAGTAATTGATATTTAATATAAATAAAACATATGCAAATAAGCGCAATTACTTTTTTATTAGTTAAGAAATGAATTGTAATTGTAGTTATCAAGTAAAACATCTTAATTGTAGAAAAATATGTAAGAGGCAGTAATAGATATCCGCATATTATATTTACACTGTATTACTATAGTTTTAAATACTAGTTTTAAATGCTGATTAAAATTTTACATTTCTCGACGTAAATCATTACCTTAAAACTAATATGTAGGTATAATATGTATCTATTACTGTAAACTGACACCTTTTAAATCTTTTTCTACAATTAAGATGATTTACTTGATAGTATAATCACGATTACAATTCATTTTATTTTAATTGTGCTCTTAAATTATAATTTAATATACATATCATGATAATACATGTATAGAAGACTGTGCTTTACATTAGAAACGCTAATGTTATTGCAAAGCAAGAGATATTGACGCAATGAAAGATGAACTTTAGATAACCTTGATCAGTACACGTAATATTAAAAAAATAATACGGTATTAAGAGCAAGCATAATACTTTTGTAACTTTATAACATAAATGACAAATTTTTTTAATCGAACAATTTAATTAAACAAAAAATATCAATTGGTAATTTTTTATCTAGTATTCCTCCAGTATATTTTTTAATATTGTTTGATATGTTTTATTATAAAGTTATATAGTTTCAAAAATAAATAATAGAAATAATTTATTAGCATGCAACATATATACATATTTTTACGTATTTTTAAAATTTGTAATAAAATTAAAACATTTGTATACACGATTATGTAAGCAATAATTATATACTTTTTGGTTCGTGAAAAACGATATTTTGTCTAATTTGCATTTAAACTGATGAAACAGTATTATGTGTTTTCTATATCGCGTAATTTAGTATTAATCAACCATAATCTCCTTGTATTTATTCAATCTATTCTGCAGATTTCAATAAATATTCTGCAATTATTGTTAATTAGAACTGTTCTATGATTACGTAAAAACTGTCCTGTTATGTAAAAGGATTAATATAAACAAAGAGTAAGTCGTACTCAGTACCCTATGGACTCACTAACGATGAACGATTATATCGTAGCATACAATGAGTAATCAAAGTTCTATAAATAAAGCGTTTCATATATTCTTTTGATAGCTTTACTCTGAAAATTTCTAGTCAAATATTTCTTCCTTTTTTGGAAATAAAAATCTTTTAGTTACATTTTAATATAAAAAGAGAGATTTATACATATCAAAAGAATAATTTTTTCCAACATAACAGATTATAATAATTTTTTCCAAAATAACAGATTATAAATCAGATCAAATACTTTTTTTTTCATTTGATGCTGCCAATAATTTATGCGGTGTTACTTTGTCTGAACTTTTTCTTCATTCTCCAAGGTCAATACTCACACAATCGGTTCTTACTTTAAAATCATCTTAAGTAACTTTAAAATCGTCTTAAGATGCTAATACAGCTTGTTGGCTTATGATAGCTTAAGATTGTACTTAAGACAGTCTTAATAAGAACCAAGTATGAATATTGGCTTATAAGTTTTTATAGAACGCTCGTAAATATTTCGTATTCAATACATGTGAATTCAAACGTGTCTTCGCGTGTCGATATCTACGTGTTTCTAGTCGACTCGGAAACTTCATTGGCTTAAAGAAATGTACCACGCACCCGCACACGCAATAGCAGTGCACATGTACATGATTACATACATGTGCGACAACTCATCGCTGACTGGTAGATTAGATACGTTTTATCTTGCAGACTCTGAAGCACGAACGGTTAACGAGACGTAGAGGAGTGAGAGACAAGTGATTAACAAGAAAACCGAACGCTCGAGTTCAGGGTGCACATGCTGAAGAGACGAGGATCGGTGCATGTGGAGATACACGCGTCACTATGAGGCCGTGGCTGAACAAATCACTTAGCTTTGGAATCCTAGGGCTATTTCTGATAGCCCTTGGTATTTCCTTCTGTTTCTTATGGCCGACAGTTTTTCATCAAATTCTTCAAAAAGTGAGTGTAGACGATAATTATTACTTTTGTCTGTGATCTGCGTTCATCTGTGGCAACACGTTCTCATATTCTTTTCTCGTTTTGTAAAGCAATTTGTGTGACATAAGATTTGTAATATCAAACAAGATTCATAACGTGACATCTACAATGAGAATTTAAAACGTGAAACTTAATCTTGTAAGATCAAGCCGCAAGGAATTGATCAATTACAGTCAAACATGAAGTGAATAATCGATTATAATTGGTCAATTTTTTACGGCTTCGGGTTTAAAGCTTGAGTTTTATACTCATTCGTGCTGTGTTGAATCAGTGCATTTACCTTCGAGGTCTATTTCAACTCCTTTCCTTTGATAAATTGAACTTGAAACGGATTTCTACGATAATTTGTATACAAAATATTCTTCTTTTTCCTCTTGCATTAGGCCTCTAGCCTGTATTACTCCTTTTTCATATGCTTATGATGCGTATATATGTATTACAAAATATTAACATTTAATAATCTAATCTCGCTTATCTTGGCAACACGATACGTGATCTGTCTGTCTGTATTATCGCCGAATCATTTAAGAAGGAAATAATTTCAAAAAAACAATCAGTTATTGAGTCCTAATTCAGATAAGATTCAGACAGAGTATTTAACTTTAAAATATAAAGTTTCATAATCCAATGATTTTTTAAACTTAAATACACATACACACACATAATTTACGTTAAAAAATAATTGAATTTTATCTTCTCTCTCAAGTATTGTCTAAATTTTGTCTGAATTTATGAATTACGACTTCATAATCCGAATGTTTTTTGAAACTGTTTTTCTTTTTAATTTTGATTTTCAATAATATGAACGGGCAGATATATTGTAAATTTATGAATTATAGCATTATTATTCTAATGCAATTTTCTATCGCTTGTTATTTATGACTCTGAGATTATTCGTTATTCTAAAATAAAGCCTTAAAATACTTTAATTCAATTGATTATAAAAATAAACAAATTCATATGTATAGATATAAGAAATAAGGTACCATTATTTATAAATCAGTTTGTTTATTTTTATTTTATATCACTGCAAATAGATATCTGGCCTACTTCTATGTTTTCTTTATCATTCTGTTTAGCGCTTCTTTCTTAGTTACTTTTAATTAAAATCTTTATTTTTAGCAAAACAACAATAATCTTCTAATTTGTTGATTTTTAAACTGATGATTAATTGTACTTATCGAGTTTTTCCGAGAAAGAGGAATAACACATGCATTGCATGTTTTTTGTCAATAATCGTGAAAAATGAGCCACACTTATGTATTAAACATGTCGTATGAGTGTCGTTTGCGATAAATAAAATCACTCGTTGAACTGATCCACATACTATGCGTTTAGAGACTGGACACTTGCTTCGGCGCTAGTCCTGACCCGATTGGAAAAGTGGCCGATTGTCCCATTAATTGATATTTCTCTGTGTCGCGGTACGTCGCAATGATTTCATTTCACGCCACTGACATCGCGCGCGAATAATACAATATTAGTATTGATAAAAGTAGAGATACACACTCATACTAGATCACACGTGTCGGCTTTTGTTTTTCATTTTAAATCGTGTTCATACAATGAACACGACGTGAAGATTAATTATTAACTGCGCGAATATATTCTTATTCAAGGTATACGATTGCTACTGAATCCGATATTTATCGCGTTTCGTATTACAATTTACAATTGATTAGTAACTGACCAATGTCGAATATAAAATTATCTTTGGATATTTTGATTGTGTCAATGTTACAATAGCGAATTTTTCCTATCAGTTATGAAAATGAATTGAATTATAAATTGTAGGTGCATAATTAATATGTTTTAATATGTGAACAATTTGATGTTTTCAATACTTTTTACGTGCACTATAATACGTAGTAAAAATTGTTTTTCTTTTTGTGTTATTGTGATCGCGTGGATAGCGACAGTATGAACCGACAACTGCTGCGTGTGTTCATCAACCGTAACACGCGATCTGAATAATTATTTAAGTGCCATTTTATAAAGAAATCATTTGCATTGTTAGCATTGCACTTCGGTGCAATCAGCGAAACATCATCAGACTATAAAGTGATAACAATTACTGTTATCGGCTAATTATCTTTTACTTCTGTTAAATATTTCTTTGTACCTCTATAGGAATTGGCTCTCTCGCCGACCTCCAGAAGCTTTGAGATGTGGAAGGACACCAGCAACCTTCCGCCTATGTTTATGAAAATTTATTTCTTTAACTGGACCAATCCGGAGGAATTGAATATAAAGAAACCGCATTTCAATCAGGTTGGACCTTATTATTTCAAGTAAGTAACTTTGACTTAAATGAACAAGTTTCATTATTATAAGATTTACGAAAAACTGTAAAATATAGAAAAGGACATATAATAAGAACATACAATACAAACCTTTATATACCTTAACAAGACGACAAGATTAATTCCTTGAGCAAGACTATTAACACAATTAACATTTACTTGTTTGTATTAGTTTGTATTAGAAAAATATCAATATATATATTTATGAATGTGAAGAGAGAGAGAGAGAGGCAGGAGAAATCACTAACCACGGAAATAGAAAGTTCCGAGATCATGCAATCGATGCATAAACCACTGCAGATAAGATAAAATATTCAGCTAATCTGTTTTTTAGTGCAGTAATTAATATTGTTTGTGTCTACGTGATTTAATCATATTAATTTGGCTTATAATAACAGGATATTGCAAAATATTAATGTTTTATACATAATGTATATTCTAACTTAAAAACAAATTAAACAAACGGCTGTTTAAAGAATGGCTGAATTTTCAACTAATTGATCTTAAGATAAAATAAATATTAAAAAACAAAACATCAAGTATACGACCAACACGAGCATAAAAAGTTGAAATTAATAATTCAATCAATTATACAATCAATAATTAGATCCAATTTAATCCATAAAACAAAAATTGTATAATACATTAGTAAAAACTCAAACGTTTCGGCTTCACAGAACCTTCATCAGTGTAGAACAATAATTTACAATCGTTAATTTTTGATGGAAACAACAACATCGGTATAATTTTTAAAATAAGATCTTGATTTTACAACCTTCTTTAGATGTTTTTCTTCTTTTCAATTCAAATTCAGTCTCCTCAATTATGTCAAAACAATATTGTCAATCATTAAAATATTTTTCCAAATTAAAAAAGAAGAAGAACAAATATCATGTTGAAACATCGATATGATATTAACGTAAAAATAAATATATATAAAAAATAAATATTTTTTTAATATTTACTATAAAAATCATAATTATAAATTAAAATTAAACTAACGATAATAAATCGTAAGTAATAAAAACAATTGCATTTTCAATCAAAGTGGAACTTATAGCGTTGAATAAGACTAAATGGAAATTTCTACAAATATATTATTTCAGTTTTATAAACTGCACATCGGTTTATGTCAGACTTGAAAGGCAATCGCAAATTCAAGCTGAAAAAAATATCATAAATTAAGGAGATTAATTGATCCTTTTCAATAATGATGTTAATAAACAACTTAAAAATCCAAAAATAATTTTTATATTATATTAGCTCAGTTAGGTTGAGATGCTTATTATTTATTAGTATCACCATTAAAATGCACAATCAATCTACTAAATTTATGATAATAGTTTCAGCTTCAATTCGATTAAGTTCAGCTTCAGTTTGCGAAAGTCTGACACACTGTATCAATGCGCAGTTTATAACATAAAAATAATATATTTGCAAACATTTGCATTTAGTGTTAAGCGCTAAGATTCACTTTGATCACCAATAGGAGATTATTAATAAATAAAAAATAAATTTAAAAAATTATGTAATAAAAATGTTATTTATTTTGACACATTACACAATTAACAATTGTAATCACTGTTCTCATTTAAATCGATAGTCACATAAAAAAAGAATCAGTTTGATTGTTTTTATGCGACTACCATTTAAATAAAAACGTGTTGACATTAATTATTTTATGATTAGTAAATTGCTTTAAATAAACAAACGTCTTAATTATCGTAACTGGTATGTTTATTAGTATTCTAAAAACAGATTTAAAGTATTTAGATAGAAAAAAGTTATGAGGAGAAATGTGATATATAATACTTCATAGACAAAATACAATGAAAGTAAGGTAGTTATTCTAATCAGACTATGAAATTACAACACGATAACGAACCTAATGATGACAATGAAGCAGAAATAGTTAACCTCGTTATATCGATGCCTTAATGAACAAAAAAAATATCAGTCACGTGCGACGCGTAGGCGAGTCTGTATGAAGTAATTGACTAATTAATTACTTTCTTCTCAACCGTAATAACATATGTTTTGTGATTCTTTAACAAGTGTCATATAGATGCGTTCCCTTACTCGTGTCCTTCATTCGACTAGTTTACCTCAATACTTTTGCGTTTAAACCGGTAAACGTATGGAATACTGCTACAAAAACGATTCTAGATATTAGTATCATTATACATTTCATAATTTGCATTTTCCAAGAACACCTCACGCGATTTTCATCACGCAAAAACATGAAGAACGTAACATAGCAGGATAGACTGAGACCGGATGTTACAGTTTTTGATTAGTGCTTTTTAGAAAACGTAAATGCCTGATTTTGAAATATATATACCTACATCCTTTAAATATAAAAAAAAGTTAGTCTTGTATGTGTAAATTCACCACATCATACAAATAAGTTATTTAATTTTAAATGAAACTGTGAAAAATTAGCCCTGTGTTCTGGATTGATTGTCACATGTTCTAGGATTGGCAATGTATAGTATATTTATTATGTCAATATATATAAAAAATACAAATAAAAAAAATAGATAATATTTAAATATTAAATCTTATAGGACCGTACATGTGAGAATAAAAATAAAGTTATTTTAATCATAAAATGAGAAATTTGTTTTAGTGCTGTAGTTTCTATATAAAAAATGAAAAACATATCTATCTATATGAAATATAATAATATATATGTAGGTATTTGTAAGAGTATATTTTCTAAAAATGTGTAGCATTTGTTAATAATTAAAATGTGTAGCAATTGTTAATACAAGAAATTGTTAATACAAGAAATCTATAAACTTTGTTAGGATAACGATTAATTAATTGTAGCAAAACTTCTTTAAGCGTGTCTTTTTCTAAATACAAGGATATTGCGATTAATAACACCAAAGACCTGTTAGACAATAAAAAATAGGTGACAAGAAAAATTTACTCACCAACTGCATTTTTAAAAAATCATTGTCAATAATACATACAATGAAATCATTTTACACAACAAATTAGCAATCTACAGTAAAAAAAGAGACTTTTCTATCTCATGTATTAATAGAATTACAAGCATACGACAATCAGCTCCGCTCTCTCTTCTTTATTAAAAAATAATAAAATCACGATAATTCTTGTAAATTGTTTTTTCAATAATAACAATAAATTAAAATCGATTTCGTAATTTAAAAAAGTTTCAATCATAAATTGGTTTGAAATTCCGTATAATTGAAACTCTAAGTTTCTTTAAATTTCGATAGGTAATTAGTAGATATTATTATCATCATTGAAGAAACTTGAATAAATTTAAAGTTTCAGTTATATGGTTGAATTTCGATGAAATTTGTGATTGCAACTTTCTTAAATTAGTAGAGTTATGTAGGGGAGAATAGTCTAAATCAGATCTATTTGCAGTCTTTGTTCTCTATAAGGCGTAAATAAAGTCCGATCATAAAACCAATAGCGCCGTTCGAAAGATCATTTAATTTCCTTCATTTTTGCTTCAGACCATTTTGACACAAAATGGTCTGTTACCTGTATCGAACTATAATGGAAAATGTAAAAATGCATTTTTCGATCCGATTTAGGAACTCATAGTTCCAAATCATATCTCTCCTATTTTTATGGACTTTTAGATTTAATTTTAAAATATATATTTTAATTAATTTTTGTTAGTATTGAGTAAATACGAGCAATTTAAGATCCAAAGATAAAAATACAGTTTGTATTATTAGAATTAAACTCAATAAAAAATTCCATCAATCTGAGTCTGATGACATATAATATTTTATTGATTTAGTGTTCCTTAGACCAGATCTGGTTGGTCGATCACCAGTATTACAACCAGATTGTGGCTTCTTTGTTCGATAAAGCTGGCTTACTCGTCTTTTTATTTAGTGTTTTTTGTCCGATTTGGACACGGGTTCATTCGAACTATTGGAACAAATTTTACAATAAATCGCAAAAGTAATCACAAAACTCTGGATATTTTTGAATTCTACACTCTTTAATTATCTCTTAAATCAATTACCGTTTAAATTTTTAACATCTTTTAAATAATGATTTACAAGGATTTTTTTTTTAATTTTCGCATGATAGCCGAAAATACATATTTACGTCTATTCTATGAACGTTATGACATAGTATTGACAAACTGCTGTGTTACATGTTCGGTGTCTTATAAGAACTTTACATTATAAATAGCACTCAAATCTGCTTATTTAAATTAAAAAGGTCTGATTTGGTACACGGTCCGATTTAGGACATTCCTCCCTATAATGATCAGCAGAATATAAAACCATGTACATCATTGTTTGAAACAATGGTCATCAATTTATATGAACAATTAAAATAATTCTATTGTTATTATAGTATTACCGCCTAAAATGAAATTCTCTTCTTCCAAATTCTTTTCGTACAATTCTATTTCCGTTCTTAATTTTGTGTCGGTAATATAAAGATTGCGCCTTTGACAATAAGAGAGCATTAGGTATAGTCATTATCATTGCGCACGTACGTCCTGTATGGTGGCGTGGCAATTGGCCCCGTTAATATTAATAAGCAATATATATAGGTCAGATGTCTAAATTGCGGTTGAATAATCAACCTCAAAATTAGCATCAATCAATAAATTATGCATCAATTAAAATGAGATAGAAAATGTATGATTTATTGTTTAATTTCAGATGGTATATAAATAAAATTACTGTACTGTAAAAAGTGCAGTGTTTAATATATAATAATTTAAATACTTACACACAAAGCATATTTCACATAAAACAAATGTTTAATAATAAAATATTTAATAATAAGAGATGTTTCAGTTTTAAACGTTTCAGTATTTTAAATATTTTTTTTTAAGGCAAAAAATGTTTTATTATGGTAGTTGAACGTTCACTTCTTTCACATACAAAAAAAAAACAAAATATTTTCTCGATAATGAATGTTTACGGAGGTAAAACATTTTGAAATATAAAACATTTTACTTACACGCTCTAAAAAATGTTTTGGTAAGTATATCAAAACACGAGAGATAGCGTCAAATTGGAAGATTTTTTTCGTAAAAAAGATTTTTGCTGATCTATATATAATATATTGTGGCCAGCAAAATAGAATATTTTTATAAATTATACATTATTCTAAGATAAAATATAGCTTTTCGCATTTTCATCTAAACGCAAGAAACGTTTAGGAATTAAACATTATCCAATGTAAAACAACTTTTAGCGTTTTCAATTTAACACACTTTTTAAAACTCTGCACAACTTTATGTGTTTTGAAATAATATACTTTAATAATTAAATACTTTTATGTATCTTCGAATAAGACACTTTTATACTAAACACAATACTAAACACTTTTTAGCATTTTGTATGCTCGTTTAAAAAAACTAAAAACAGTATTTGAAAACGGAGATAAGAAATAAAATATCTTAATATCTTAAATTAATATCTTAATATTTAAATACTTTCTTTTATGAATGTAAACGTTTATATTTAGTGCGTATTTCATTAATGTTATCCGCTTCTAATTTATAAATTTACGGATAATGCTCGATAACTATAAAAAAACCTTTTGATTGCATAAAAAAAAAATGGAAGAAATAATTAACGCAATTATGAAATGCAGGGAAGTAAGGCAAAAGAGTGATATCAAGTTTAATCATGAGAACAAAACTGTCAGCTATGTGCAACGACGAATATGGTATTTCGATGAGGAGCGGAGCAATGGAAGTCTTAGCGACGTTATTACTAATTTGGACGCCGTCACTGTGGTAAGTTGTCTTATTGAATCTTTTATTGCGTACTTAGCAATAGTAAATTTAATTCATGATATCAATTATAACGCTGTAAGCAAAAAAGAATTATCGTATATCGAATGTGAAATAATTGCATAATAATAATACAGGAAGATGTACTTGGATTTCCAGCTTTTTTTAATCTCTATAGCATGAAATTTTTTTGTAGTTATAAAAAATATTATGTAACGTAAAATCAACAATTATTGATCTAAAGGTGGTTTCTGCAACCTCTATCTACAGACAACTTGCAAAAGTATTTCACACTGTATCACAAGATGTATATACGCCACTTTACGGTAAAAAAAATTAAATTGATCAACAAGATATTGATATATGATTAATATGTGACTTCAAAGTCACACCGAGTTATAGAGGATTAAATTTTGCCCTGATATTAAAATAAAAAATAATCAAATTCGAGAAGAATCATGCAGAAACATTAAATGCTATAAATATATGATATTTATTCTCTTTTACAGTCAGGAGTGCATAAAATTAGATTCTGGGAAGTCGACTGGCAAAAGTCGCTGTCTTTCCTCTTAAGTAGCACCAACCGACGATATTATATTAGTAAAACAGTGGACGAATTGCTGTTTACAGGCTACTCTGACAATTTGCTCACTATGGGCAAAATGATGCCTATAGACGACGTTCCGGCATTTGACCGTTTCGGCTGGTTCTATACGGTACGTCTACTAATAAGACAAGCTATTTCTGGTCTTTCTTCTTAACAATTCATTTATAGTGAGCACAAACAACTTGTTAAAACGTGCGATATATTAAATACACTTCGAAGAATATTGCTTGTATGATTATTTTTAATTTCCTGTAGGATTACAATTTTTTATTTACTTTAAGGATTATTGCAGAGCTAGATTTAGTAACACATTTTGGTCCGATTTCGATGTTTATTATATGTATTTCAGACAGAAATATAAGTCACCCCTAAGTCTGAAGTAGCTTCTTTGAATGAATTCAGATTATTCCATTATAAATTTATTCTATTATAAAATTTAATTTTAGTTATTAATATAATAGCTGGAATTTTTTTGTTATCAATATACTGATAACAAAAAGCTTTTCCATTATCTATTAATCCAATTAATTAATAATTATTCCAAAAAGAAAAATTCTAACTATAGCTACTTGAGGTTCAAGGGAATTACAATTCTATCATTTAATATGAACGCTTATTCTGAGATGAAGCGTCACACTTATTTATAAGCTCGTTGCTAAGATACGAGCGGTAAGAAAGAGATAATAGGCGTCGTCAATAAAATCTGCCCGAAATGTGTGAATTTAATTCCAGCTATAATGTATTCTACCATTCTCTCAATCATTTTGCTTTTTTAAATATTGGAAAACCAGAAACTTCCCGTCTTTTTATTACTTTATAATAAATAATTCATCTTTCATAAAGGATTTAAAATGCTAATATTAAATATAGTATTTTACATTAGAGATAACTATGAGCGATGTAAAAGGTATTAATATTAAGCAAATAGTACGTGGAATATTTGAGTTGCACGTTACTAGGTAATAGCGTTATAGCCGATGGTAGAGTACTTGTAACCAGGTTTAAATTGATAATGAATGGAGGAGATCACATATAGGTCGCGCCGCGTAGCGAATAAAACGTCCGAAGATATATTATGCAGTATTATATTGCAGTATTATATTGACATTAGTGCTCTACAAAAAATTATTAATTAATTAATATCTCTAAACACTTTAAGAGTAGAATTGCCACTCTTATATTAAATTTAGTCTGTTTTCTGTTCCTGCACTAGACTGAACTTTCTTTCTCACCTTCGACAAATATCAAACATATACATATTTCACTTCATGTTTTAAAAGTGTACACTAGTTCAGCCATAGAAAACAGATCTATTGTTGAAGCATCTGATTTTTATGAAGAATAACAAGCATTACGCTTATAAGAGAAACAAATCGCCGCTTGAGTTGATGCTAATAAAAATACTAGAGGAAAAACAGACGAAAACTTAACGTTCCACTAACGAAAATGTATTAATTCGCCAGTTGTTACATTTTTAAATAAATTATGTGGTAATTTATTTAATAGATAAACACACAAAAGAATAAAAGTATAAGAGAGTTATAAAGAGTTAGAGAGTGAATTGAGGTTTACAAAAAAAGATGGAATAACCTAACCATAAGTGCGTTTTTAGATGTGGATAGAACTATTAAAAGACCAAAAATGAATTGCTAAAACAGGAATACATCACAATTTATTATTATGTCTTAATTATGTAGAGAAATAATAGCGACATGGATGGGCACTTAAATATGGAAACAGGCGAGGATGATATAAGCCAGTTGGGAATCCTAAGAAAATGGAATTACAGGGATACGACGAAATTTTTCAAGAGCCCGTGTAACGTTATTGAAGGCAGCGCCGGTGGATTTTGGCCGCCCTATAGGACGAAAAATCAAATTAGTTTGTTCAGCGTAGAAATATGTCGGTCAGTTTAAAAATGTTATCAAGTTTATACAAAATAGACTTAATTTCGCATTTATTTATGTGATGTCAAACCAAATAGTGTTTAACGAAGGATCGAGATTTTATTTTAATGAATTCGAATGAGGCAATTTAGTCCTAGTTGCTACATAAATAATACTATAATTATAGAATCTTGAAGCAAAAGATAATCACAGCAAATGCCATAATCAGTTTTTTAATTAAAACGCTAATTGGTTAATAAAATGCCTAATATTTGACCAAAGCAATATGGATAACATTTTTTTGTATTTATTGAACACATTTTTATTAGTTATATTTAATTATCGATTTGTTTTTACTTAATATTTAATTATCTTCGCCGCATTAATAGAGTAAAAGTAATCTCTCTGGCGCTATCCCAATAAGAAATGACAATGGAATCGATGTCGATTTCATTACCATTTCTCAATGGAATTCTTGCATGTTATTAATACCTGTTATAAAACACATTGAATTCTTAATCTTATTTTTTGTTCTTTTTTTTTTACATTATTTTAGTACAATAACCTACGAATACGAAGGAACAGTTTCTCATTTTGGCATCGAGGGTTATCGATACACCATTGATAAGAAGACTCTTGGAAATGATACAAGACGACGTTATCCTCACGAGCAAGCGAAATATTTTGAGCGGACCACAACGACAGAAGACTTTTTTGCAGCTGAGCATCTGTCCGAGATGGGAATCACTACGACCACCGAAAGTGTTGCTGACGATTCTTCATCCGAGAAAAATACGAATGAATACTCAGACGATGATCCGGATGTTATCAATATGGGTAATTGCTATTGCGATGGCGAATGCACGCCGTCAGGTCTAATGAATGTGACCGCGTGCCGTTTCGGTGCGCCAGCCTTCATCAGTCTACCTCATTTTTACAAGGGTGATTCCATGCTTCTTGATCAAGTCGGAGGATTACATCCTAATGATAAGGATCATAGCTTCACCGTCACTCTCGAACCCGTGAGTAGTGATAATTTTTACAGCGCGAACGAATAAATTCGCCGCGATAGAAATAACAGCGGTTAGTCAACCCCGTGCTCTACTACCAAGATACTAATTTTACTATCGCGTTTCATCCGGCCTATCGAGGATGTGGCGCTGCCACGATAATTTGCGCTATTGAGAAAGCAATCGTGTTGAATTATTCGCATAGCTTCGTGTTAAAGTGGCTCCAAACGGCATGGCAATGTACGCCAACTTTATGCACATTCGCTAAACATTCATCTTATATAGATAATGTGTGTGTAATATTTACAAAAGTTGAGGTGTACTTTGGACATATCGTTCATAGAACCGTCTTTACATGATATTATACTATTTTTGGCAATTAATAAATATGAATGTTCTTTTTTCTTTTTACAAAAAACACTTGATGTTTCAGATGACAGGAATTCCTCTAGAAGTAATAGCTAGATTTCAAATTAATCTTCTTCTGCAACCATCAGAAACTGTGACGTAAGTATGAAAAAAGATTCACAAAAAACTCAATAATTTGCAAGAAAGTAACATATCTGATCTTATCCATATAGAAAGAACGATTTTGCTCGAATGTCTGAATATAGTCTGATGTGTGATTCACGAAAAACGATAACAAAAGACTTATTAAATTGCAAACGAAATAATCACATACCTAATCCTATTAATATAGAAAGAATGGTTTTGCTGGAGTATTTAAATTTAGCTAGAAATGATTCATATAAAAAAACAAAAAACTCATTAAATTATAAAACGACATAATCATATAACTGATTTTATCAACATGGAAATAACGGTTTTACTGAAGTATCTAAATTTAGCTCGTTATAGATCTAAAAGTAAATTTTATTGGCCTATCAAAATAATTATGTAGAATGTACAAAATAGGTGCTAGAATGTCAAAATTTTCTTGCAGCTTTGCTCATTGTAGTTGAATTTATAATTATTTTATGAATTTACATAATTATTTTGATAGTCCAACAAAATTATTTTTAAATTTGTATATATCTATTATTTAAATTTTAGATACTTTAATAAAATTGTTCTTCCAATGCAATTAAATAAAAAGAAAAATTGATATATTGTTTAGGGTCTTCAACAATGTTCCCAAGATCTATATGCCGATGTTTTGGTTCGAGTTGAAAGTAAAAATCTCCGAGGATATGGCTTCTGATTTAAGGAAATTACTAGCACTTCCAACTGTGATGCTAAGTATCGGTATAGCTATGATAGCCATCGGATTAGGTTTAATTGCTACCACAGTATTCTTGTATTTCAAGAACAAAAGACGTGTACCCACAACGGTATGTGTACGATTCATAAAACTCTTTAATTTAATAATAATTAATAATAACATTAAATAATAAATTAATGAGGACTTTGAAGAACATTTTTATTGTAACTTACATGCGCAATGTTTTATAGGATGTCACGGAAAAGGCAGTAGATGAATCCTCTGACAAGAAAACGGAAATGGTGTATATGGATAAAACAAGTAGCAATAATGAAGACCCTAACGTCAGAGGCGATCGTCGTCTGTATGCGAAACTCTACTGAATGTTTTTCTGCAGGAAGAATTTGAAATTTTCCAAAACATTGTATGGAAATGTGCGATTGCGGAGCGATTTTGACACATAAAAAGGCTGCTATAGGATATTTACAAAATAAATTTTTATTATGTGCCTCAGCTCCACAACAATTGGCGCAAAATATGTCCTAAAATATGTGTATATATATCTTACACTAGTAGAATGTAAGAAATATATACATGGACAGAATGTTTTATAAGTGCACATATGCATAATCGTGGGTAAATTTATATCAAGTTTTTTTATATGCACACATATATTAATGTATAATTAGCATTATAAATAATACTGCAAAAAAACGCAAAAAAAGTCAAGAAAATCACGTAATTATAATATATTATCGCGAATGTACATACGGATTAGCATATTACTTGCACAGATAATTTTTAAATGTAAATGTGGCAGTTACATAAAAGAAATTACAGAATTTTAATCAATTTTCCTAGTTTGGTAATAATAAATTCCTATAAATATGAAACGTACAAATACTATATAAATCCTTTTAACCGAATATTTGTTGAATTGAAATGTAAATTTATTTTAGATATATATATATATATATATATATATACATATATATGTACTTGTATAATTGATAGATAAAGTATGAAATCAAATATTAAAAAATGCTTAAAATTACTCTTTGGGAAATATTATACATAGTGTAAATTGTATATTTCTTTGCAAAAAATACTGACGTATTTCTTGTTCTCTTTATTATTCGCTCTGCGAATAATAGACTCATCATTCCTTATATTACGTAATTTTAAGGCTCGAATGATATTAGATATTGTTTTTATAAAATATCAATTTGGTATATTAAGACTGACAAAATCGTGTGCACCAAAAATCGTGTAGGAAAAATTATTTTCTTGCCTTGACTCAATCAACTATCTGTACACATAATAATTACAATACGATCAAAATCGAGGAGCTACAAATCAAATTGTAAATTTTGTTTTTACCTATTCTGCTATAATGTATTACAATGTTAAAACTAAAATTGTGTTAGTCACAAATCGAAGATAATTATAAGTTACTCTATTATTTGCGCCAAAATACAATTAACGTTATGATCGAATGCAAACGAACAGAAAGGTGAAAGAAAAGCTTTACAGTGACAAATGCATGACACTATGAATTTACCTTTTGTTTGATTATAGATAATGTGAGCTGTATCTCTATTAAATTTAAGTCTATAAATATTAATAGGTGCACGATGTACACAATTTATACAACGAATTACGTCAATGTTTAGGTATATAGATGTACAAAATATATACGTAATGTATAATATATTGTATTATTAAAAATATGATGTAATGTATATAATGCGCTATTCTTGTATCAGAATGCCGATGATGTGCCTTGATATTAATTATTATTATCCGAATTCTGTCTAGATAGATATTTAGACGTTGTAGTGAAATTTTGAGATAATGTTATGGCTTCCTCATGCGAAGCGTAGATGTGATGAAATTAACATAAAATTGTTTTATTTTTAGAATTAGTTAAATCCATCGAATATACATATATTGTTAGCGATTTCTTCACTCGTTATTATTAACAACTTAGATTCAAAATTATATGTTATCTTTATTTTTCCTACAATGCCTCGTGCTATATGTTTATGACGAAATTTGTGATATAATCGAGGTGTTATATGTTATTTATACAAAAAAGAACCATTTACGAGTGCCAATAATGTTTAAACTAAGCATTATGTATCCAACATGAGAGTTGTGACAGACGTTACCAATATCCTAACATGACTTTAGATAGATGCAATTAACAGAATATAAAAGTACAATATATTATGTGTTTCATGTCTAAAATACATTCGCTGCGTGCCACTTGTGGGCGGTTTTATACTCTACATTTCAATAAAAAAATCTATATTGTTTTCGCAATATTAAATATGGTCGATTTCCTACGATTCGTAGCATTTCACACAATAAAAATGTTCACACAATCAGTATTTTTTTTAAGTAACATCAGCAATGATCTTAACTCTTAAACTCCTTTTCGATATGACATTTTTCTAATGTCTTTTTTTAAATTTCTTTTGCACTGTTTATAACTTTTTTATTAATAATATAAAGATACATACATTTACTTGATACTATTATGTTGCTTAATATTTCATATTTGGATTAAAAAAAATTAAATTGATTTGGATATGCCGTAATCAAATGTATTATTTTCATAGTTTGGCGTTTAAGAGTTAACTTTTTTATATCTCTTTTTTTATATTTTCAATTTTTCACAATGACCGCGCTCGCATCATAAACAGCGACTGTGGCTCGATCTTGTAAATGTTTCATCATTGTAGGTAAAACGGTCGGTCACAATCATCAACTGTTAACGTAATTTGCTACATTATAGACGTATGATAGTGTTTTTCTGTTAAATTTTGGGACATTTTTAATTATAAAAGCCAAACATATTTATTTTCAACAATTAAATTTGCGTAAATAAAAAATATAGCTAATATCTAAAATGTTAAACGTATAAATTTTAAGAAATACGAGATTTATTTGTCATGCTTTACTTGCACACCATTACGTTACGCGAGGCCTATCTAACGTCATTAAACGATTAAACTCTTTCAACAATAGGTTGCGTAAACCCGATCGAACTATGGACGGAGCTACTGCTTCGTGTGCAAGTAAGATTCTGTTAATTATCACCGTTTATTACTGTAGATTAAAAGAATTTACAAAAGAAAAATGTCAACGTGTCGACAGCTGCAGCAGATTTGCTGCAAGTGAAACGTCGAGTAACGTTGATAAGAATTTATTATCGTATGCCTGCTGTCGATCATTACGAATATCATCACTACGAATTTATTATCATATTTATCTCTTGCAAGAGGTTTACTCTTGCCAAAAAAGTTGCTGATTTTATTCATACGCAATAACATCGACGAAATGGAGTCGATGTTTGTTTATGAAATGTAAACATGAAATAATTTTTTACATGTGTGGCATAACCTCCAATACTTCCTCTATTTACTAGTCAACTAGTGTTTTGATTGTGTTTTCAAGTAATATCATTATTATACTTAAATCTTATACATAAAAATTTATAAACAAAGATTGTTCAAGACTAAGTTTTAAATGACCGACAAATACAAAATATAAAAAATTATCAATGGTCTACAAATTAATTAGCAGCACTTGTAGTGTAATTTTAAATGTAAACTTTTCATTCACCAACATTTGTTATTTAATAAGATTCGTATATTTTGATCTACGTTCTCTTTAATATAAAAACATATTGTGATATATAATTATATTTTTTAACTCTTCCAATACCATTGAACAAATCTTATTAGCAAAAGTCAACAATTCAAATTTTTTTTGTATTACATAATCTATAATCTCTCGACAAGTAAATTATATAAAATCGCTTAAGCCTTTAGTGAGAGAGAGAGAGAGAGAGAGAGAGAGAGGGGGGGGGATGGTGAGAGACGTGGGAGTTTTATCCTTCACAGAAGACCAATTATCGATTTACCTCCCTCGCCTTTGTCCCCTTTTTAAAATAACTCGTTCGTATTATAAGTTATATATATATATATATAGCGATTATTTGTAAAGATCGAGGCCGAATTCTATAGCAATTAACTTACCCTTTTTGTAGATTCACAGATGACAGATGATCTGATGCGTTCTTAAAATGAGATACTCGAGCTAAATAAATACGGATACTTAGACTTGCATTGAGTGCATTCGGCAGAGAAAGCTGATCAGTTTGTGCTCAGTAATTTTGTAATATGATTGGTTTCTACACTCAGATTCAGCGAAAAACTATGTACGTATAAAGGCAAGAATCCAATTAAAAAATCACTGAACGCTCACTGATTAGTTTTCTCTGCTGAACGTAGTCATTATAAACGTACCTACTTGCTTTCCACGCATGAAAACGTGTGACGGGAGACAATAGCGAAACATCTTTCGTCAATATTCAATTCTCGATGCGTGACAAAATGCGCACACGTGCGTGAAACAAAGCGAAGTAAAGGAGAGACGATGATGGTGGAGAACACATAAATGCGGCGCGGCATGCGGAGATTGTAATACTTGCGACATGCAGAGTATTCCCTTCTTTTCTCTTTTTTTCCCCTCTCGCGTGATGCAGCTAAGCCGCTACTGCGCGAATCGCACGTGCGCGTAACGCGGACGAACTAAAATCACGTATTTAAAGCGATGCATACGCAATTGTTGACTCTAAATGTTGAATACGCAAACAAGCCGCCAAACAAGCACGTCGCAGTCGAGAGTTACGAGACGCGGAAAACGAGGGATTTTATAATAGAAGCTGGAACAAGATATCGCACGAATTCCGGCAGATCGATCGGCGAATAATACGCAAATTATTGAAAAGCGAAAAGCATTTTCGAATGTTATTTCACATAAGACGAGATCGTTTACAGTTTGCATTCACGCGTGATAAAGCAATGAAATTAACATCACGTTTGAAGAGTTGAAATATTATTTCACGAGTAATATCGCTTCGCGTTATCAGCATCACATAATATAAAACGTATCATTCGCACAATTGAAGACGTAATGCTGTATTATAACGTTCGTTCCATTAATTAATTAGTAAAGAATTAAAACGCTCCGCCACGGAGAGAGATCGAAATAAAAACTCGCAAGAGATGTTTCATCTACCGTGGGAATTCCACATCGATCGATTCACTTTTGATCATATCTGTCGCTAATAAAATTATGAAACGGAATGGCTCGAGAGTATGGCAGTCTCTCTATCGAGAGACTCGGCTTCTCTGAATTCTGCCGTGTGCCTTTTGTTTTTTCGCACCGGCGAGTGAAATCTGCGTTGGGATTAGCATACGAACGAAAATTGGAACGTCTAATTGTCACGTCTGCCGCCATGGAACGGTCTTTTTAAAGTGGATGTACAACAAGCTCGTCTTCTTGGGACGACAAAGTAAAAGAATCGTAGTCTCGAACAAAAACAGAGGATAGCGTTCATTATTGTCTAACGCGGAAACACCCGTATCACCATTGTACGTTATCACGGCGTTAAATTACGGTTTAGCCAAAAGATAACGGTATAAAAAAATTTGGGAGATACATTAACAATTCTTAGAGTAAATAGAATTTATGCGGTTGTGTTGAGTAAGCGACGTCGAGAACGACGTTATTACAAAGAAATAATCCTGCAAAACGGATATATCTGATTCTTTTTTTTTGACATGATAGTCGAATACTTTCTAAGCAC